AGAGCAATAGAGCGATGGTTGACACACTGGCTAGAGTGGCCAGAAGAGCTCATGCATGCAGGGCAAAGCTCCTGATCATGGGTGACTTTAACCACAAGGAGATCGATTGGGAGAACTTGGACCCGCATGGGGGCCAAGATACATGGAGGGCTAAGATGATGGAGGTGGTACTGGAAAACTTCATGTACCAACACGTAAGGGACACTACAAGAGAGAGAGGAGAGGATGAACCAGCAAGGCTGGACTTAGTATTCACCTTGAGTAGTGCAGATATCGAGGACATCACATGTGAAAGACCCCTTGGGGCCAGTGACCATGTGGTTTTAAGCTTCGAATACACAGTAGAGCTACAAGCAGAGGAAGAAGCAGGAAGGCCAGGACGAATGAAGCCAAACTACAAGAAAGGGGACTACACAGGAATGAGGAACTTCCTGAATGGGGTTCAGTGGGACAGAGAACTGGCAGGGAAGCCAGTTAATGAGATGATGGAATATGTAGCAACAAAATGCAAGGAGGCTGAGGAGAGGTTTGTACCCAAGGGTAACAGGAATAATGAAAAAGCCAGGATGAGCCCATGGTTTACCCAAAGGTGCAGGGAGGAAAAAACCAAGTGTGCTAGGGAATGGAAGAAATATAGAAGGCAAAGGACCCAGGAGAATAAGGAGAGCAGTCGTAGAGCCAGAAACGAATATGCACAGATAAGAAGGGAGGCCCAAAGACAATATGAAAATGACATAGCAGCGAAAGCCAAATCTGACCCGAAACTGTTGTACAGCCACATCATGAGGATAACAACAGTCAAGGACCAGGTAATCAGGCTAAGGAAGGAAGGAGGAGAGACAACAAGAAATGACCGTGAAGTATGTGAGGAACTCAACAAGAGATTCAAAGAAGTGTTCACAGAGGAGACAGAAGGGGCTCCAGAAAGACGGAGAGGTGGGGCACACCACCATGTGCTGGACACAGTGCACACAACAGAGGAAGAAGTGAAGAGGCTTCTGAGTGAGCTAGATACCTCAAAGGCAATGGGGCCAGATAACAGCTCCCCATGGGTATTGAGAGAGGGAGCAGAGGCGCTATGTGTACCCCTAACAACAATATTCAATACATCTATCGAAACAGGGAGATTGCCTGAGGCATGGAAGACAGCAAATGTAGTCCCAATCTTTAAAAAAGGAGACAGACATGAAGCATTAAACTACAGACCAGTGTCACTGACATGTATAGTATGCAAAATCGTGGAGAAGATTATCAGGAGAAGAGTGGTGGAACACCTAGAAAGGAACGATCTCATCAACAGCAGCCAACATGGTTTCAGGGACGGGAAATCCTGTGTCACAAACATACTGGAGTTCTATGACATGGTGACAGCAGTAAGACAAGAGAGAGAGGGGTGGGTGGATTGCATATTCTTGGACTGCAAGAAGGCGTTTGACACAGTTCCACACAAGAGATTGGTGCAAAAACTGGAGGACCAAGCAGGGATAACAGGGAAAGCACTACAATGGATCAGGGAATACTTGTCAGGAAGACAGCAGCGAGTCATGTTACGTGGCGAGGTGTCAGAGTGGGCACCTGTGACCAGCGGGGTCCCACATGGGTCAGTCCTAGGACCAGTGCTGTTTCTTGTATTTGTGAATGACATGACGGAAGGAATAGACTCTGAGGTGTCCCTGTTTGCAGATGACGTGAAGTTGATGAGAAGAATTCACTCGATCAAAGACCAGGCAGAACTACAAAGGGATCTGGACAGGCTGCAGACCTGGTCCAGCAATTGGCTCCTGGAGTTCAATCCCACCAAGTGCAAAGTCATGAAGATTGGGGAAGGGCAAAGAAGACCGCAGACGGAGTACAGTCTAGGGGGCCAGAGACTACACACCTCACTCAAGGAAAAAGATCTTGGGGTAAGTATAACACCAGGCACATCTCCTGAAGCGCACATCAACCAAATAACTGCTGCAGCATATGGGCGCCTAGCAAACCTCAGAACAGCATTCCGACATCTTAATAAGGAGTCATTCAGGACCCTGTACACCGTGTACGTTAGGCCCATATTGGAGTATGCGGCACCAGTTTGGAACCCACACCTAGCCAAGCACGTAAAGAAACTAGAGGAAGTGCAAAGGTTTGCAACAAGACTAGTCCCAGAGCTAAGAGGTATGTCCTACGAGGAGAGGTTAAGGGAAATCAACCTGACGACACTGGAGGACAGGAGAGATAGGGGGGACATGATAACGACATACAAAATACTGAGAGGAATTGACAAGGTGGACAAAGACAGGATGTTCCAGAGATTGGACACAGTAACAAGGGGACACAGTTGGAAGTTGAAGACGCAGATGAATCACAAGGATGTTAGGAAGTATTTCTTCAGCCACAGAGTAGTCAGTAAGTGGAATAGTTTGGGAAGCGATGTAGTGGAGACAGGATCCATACATAGCTTTAAGCAGAGGTATGATAAAGCTCACGGCTCAGGGAGAGTGACCTAGTAGCGATCAGTGAAGAGGCGGGGCCAGGAGCTCGGACTTGACCCCCGCAACCTCAACTAGGTGAGTACAACTAGGTGAGTACACACACACACACACACACACACAAATATCAACATATACAAAGAAGCATACACACACACAATGTATACATACATTGCACACAAAAGAAATCTTTCACAACATAGAAATGGTTGACATTTTCCCATTTTACATAAATATTAGTAAAAGAAGCAATGAAGTAAAGAACTGAATACTTTCTTTATTCTTGTAAACTAATGTTAGCTCATTACATTTTTAGCTTTAATTACTGCTAAATTCTTTAAGGCAAACTACTAAAAATCCTGGAAATAATCATTGTCCATAGTGATCCAAATTTTCTTCAGTTCACCAGGGCCATAACATAAGCCTTCTCTTCCATACTAAGAAATGCACATGCATGTCAGTGGCTTTCTTTTGTGCGGAACAATATTTTATTATATATAAACTACATTTTTATAACACACAAAGAAATAAAATTTGTTTGTTTATGATAAACAAGGCCTCATATCTATCACTGATAGCTAAAATATAAGCTGTCAAACAATCCAACAGGAAATTCCAAAATGGTGATCAAGAGTGCATCAAAATGCAGCCACCTACAGCAACTCCATCGAGGTAACTGAGGGCAAGCAAAGGGCGGATATCGCTAATACAATATATGTCCGAGCGTTTGAACATATCAAAAACTTGGCCCAAAGGTTGTCTAATGCAAGAGAAAACAACGAAACATTGAAATTCCTTGATTTTGCGTTTCCAGGTAATGATTTCTTTTGCAGGCACTGTATGTACCCATACATATGCATGCAAACATATGTACATACATACAAAAACTTGGAGTATTGGTATCGGTGGGTATTGGCATATTTTGATGGTATCAGTATAGATACCAGTATTGGTGGGTATCGGCCTAAAACTATCAGCAAAAAACTTTGATACTGTCCTATCCCTTACAATAACATAGGCACATGCATACATACACACAAACACCTACATGCACACATGAATATACATTTTTATATTTTGCTTCTATGGAATTTATTACCACCCTGCATTGTTCCTTTTGTTTGCACTGAGGTAGAGGGGGGCTGAGCTTATAAGATAGTATAGTGATGCCTTTTGAGGATTGCATGACTATAACAAGTCTAGTATTATTAGTGTTTAACTGGGTTCTGTTCTAGTCTCATTTTATCATACATGCATTCGTAAGACCATAAGCATACATACTCTTATGCATACATATAATGAATATATGCATACATGCCTTGGTGGGAAATGGCCGATGTGTTAAAAAATGCATACATGCATATATATATACATATATAAGCATATGTTTACCTATGTACAAATATACAGTCATCTGTACACACAAATACACATGCATATACAGGAGGGCCCCGCTTATACAGCAGGTTAGGTTCCGGGCTACTGCTGTAAAAAAAAAAAAAATCACTGTAAAGTGAAACATGGCCTTTTTTTTCACTTTCAAATGCATATAAAAATCTGATAACACGTTTACACTATCATATATTAAGTGAGTAATAGAGTTAGTCCTAAAAAAATGCATATACAGTACACATATTACATACTTAAAATATTTTTGTCCTTAGCTCATAGTGAATATATTTATTTTAAGAAATCTAAACAAATGAAGACTGGGTATAACTGAAAACCACTGTATTTGTAAAATGCCATAAAGCATGGCCTGCCTGTATATGCAAGAACATACATACATGCATAAATACATACACACACACATTTTTATATTTTGCTGCACTAGAATTTCATGACCGCCCTGCACTATTCCTTTTGTGTGCATTGAGGTAGACGGGACTGAGCTTATGGGATACTTTTCTCACATCACGAAGTGACCAAAACATGGCTATTTTGTTCAGTCTCACTTAATGGAAGAGAAACAGTGTGTTTATTTAAGCTGCAAATATTTCTTACAGGTAAATACAAAACTTCTTCAGTCATGTTTAAATTAAATATTGAAACATTTTCTCAATTCTGGAGGGTATTTTGAAAAGTAATATACATATTGAAACCTTGAGTGTTCTGTAAATATAACTGAAAAATATTTCCATAAAGATAAAATGGACATGCTAAAATTAATTTGTTGCTTTTCAAATTATAAAATACGACTAAGGAATCCCCCAGAGGTATTCCAGTGCAGGAGGACCCTGCATATACAGCATCTTCTTTGCATTGTTCTACGTTTCTGTTGGCTTCAAACTGAGCTATTGTTCATTATGTTCTGCCCATCGGCGAGTGGAACAATGTCTCAATTGAAAGCCAATAAAAATGTGAAACACTGAAAATAGGTGCTGTATATGCAGGGCCCTCCTGTATTTCACAAAAGAAAATGTATGACTAGAATGCAAAGCAAACAGTGCAAAATTTGAAAGAATGCCAAAGGAAGCCCTGAAGAATGCAGTGAGCATAAAGCATTAAGACATGGCAGGAATAACTCACTGCTCCAACCATGACGGAGGTGCGGTGTTAGGGCTGCGTAGTTTAATGTTGAACTGTTTAAGGGTGGCTTCCAGAGCAGTCTGGTTGCCACTAAAGTATGCAGATACTGCATTGTGGAACAATAGTAACTGCTTATGCATTACTTTCACCTGCAAAAAATGAAATATGTAAGAACTCTGAAAATTAGATATTAGTTTCTTTTATTCTTAGCTGTTTTTTACTAGCCTTACTATATTGCTAAAATATTAACATGCACAATAAATACATCAATGTGTTCTCTTCTTTTGGTCACTGCCTTGGTGGGAGATGGCTGTAGTATTCAAAAAATGTGTGTATATAAACACACACACACACAAATTCTAGACATTTCTACATGGGTATAGTACAATTATACCCAAATAGGTACAACACTTGAGAAGCGCATGGATATGATAAATTGGCACAGTTAGTTAGGACAACAGATTTAGCTAACACTGCTAGCTAGGGCCAGTGATTTGGTTAACAGTGTACAGACAGACTTTCCTGCTTTCCTTAATTTTTCTACACTAAAATCGTATAATGAGTTACCACTGGTCTGCTAGCATACTGCAGAATATGCTGCAAGAATTCTTGCTTTTTTCTTATCCTTTAAAATTTACAATTTTCTTTTAATACTCCCTTTAAAACTTTAGAAGTGTACATATCTTTCTATGAATCCTTCTCAAACAAACACTATTCTTCCTCTTCAATTTATCTTGTTTTATTTACTGTACCTCATAAAACAAAATTTCCAATTTCTAACATACCAAATTTTAAGCCTTTAAGCAGAAGTATCATTAAAAACAGGCACATCTTGGGAGAGAAAATACATACAAAAATTTTAGTAATTAAATGCAAACTGTATTGTAACAGTAGGTAGTATAGGAATACCAACAAGTTGTACATGACAGACACAAAAGCAGTAATTACAACTTTATGCAGTCAACAATATTTTACCAGTATAACTGGCACAGGCTTTGTCAAGTCAGTAGACTATACCTGGAAAAAGGAGATTACACAGGCAGGAGAATGAGGTTAGGCCAGATGCACTGCCAATCAACTTGATGGTTGGTCTCAATAGGCTGTGTTTAGCAACTGCATCACTAAGGGTTTGGTAATTTGTAGTATTATGCTGCATATGCTTATTTGGAAGGTGTTCATTTACTTGGCCTTGAATATAAAAAAGTGCTCACTCCCTTAGCTTTGATTATAAATGACTCAATGTACAATGGGCGTTCAGTCTCTTAGCTCTGATCTACAATATTCAGTAAAATAAATTGGTATTATCCAGAGGGCTGAGGAGGGATTGTTGAGGTGGTTTGGACATGTAGAAAGGATGGAACAAAATAGAATGACTTCGAGAGTGTATAAATCAGTAGTGGAGGGAAGGCGGGGTAGGGGTCAGCCTAGGAAAGGTTGGAGGGAAGGGGTAAAGGAGGTTTTGTGTGCGAGGGGCTTGGACTTCCAGCAAGCATGCGTGAGCATGTTTGATAGCAAATGGAGACAAATGGTTTTTAGGATTTGATGTGCTGTTGGAGTGTGAACAAGGTAACATTTATGAACAGATTCAGGAAAAACAGCAGGCTGGACTAGAGTCCTGGAGATGAGAAGTACAGTGTCTGCACTCCAAAGGAGGGGTGTTAATGCTGCAGTTTTATAGCTGTAGTGTAAGTATGCCTCTGGCAAGACAGTGATGAAGTGAATGATGATGCAATTTTTTATTTTTTGGGCCACCCTGCCTTGGTGGGAGACAGCCGATGTGTTAATAAATTAAATTTTTTTTTTTTTTTCAACAAGTCGGCCATCTCCCACCGAGGCAGGGTGACCCAAAAAGAAAGAAAACCCCTAAAAAGAAAATACTTTCATCATTCAACACTTTCATCTCATTCATACATAATCACTGTTTTTGCAGAGGCACCCAGATACAACAGTTTTGAAGCATATATAACATATCCCTCCAAACTGCCAACATCCCAAACCCCTCATTTGTAGTGCAGGCATTGTACATACCTCCCATTTCCAGTACTCAAGTCCGGCTATATAAAAATAACCAGTTTCCCTGAATCCCTTCCCTTAATATTACCCTGCTCACACTCCAACAGCTTGTCAGGTCCCAAAAACCATTCGTCTCCATTTATGCCTATCTAACACACACACACGCTTGCTGGAAGTCCAAGCCCCTCGCCCACAAAGCCTCCTTTACCCCCTGCCTCCAACCTTTTCGAGGATGATCCCTACCTCACCTTCCTTCCCATACAGATTTATATGCTCTCCATGTCATTCTACTTTGATCCATTCTCTCTAAATGACCAAACCACCTCAACAACCCCTCTTCACCCCTCTGACTAATACTTTTATTAACTCCACACCTTCTCCGAATTTTCTGCATAATATTTACACCACACATTGCCCTTCTACAGGACATCTCCACTGCCTCCAACTGCCCCCTCACTGTAGCATTTACAACCCAAGCTTCACACCCATATAAGAGAGTTGGTACCACTATACTTTCATACATTCCCTTCTTTGGCTCCATAGGTAATGTTATTTGTCTCTACATATACCTTAATGCACCACTCACCTTTTTTTCCTTTATCAATTCTATGGTTAACCTCATCCTTCATAAACCCATCCACTGACACGTCAACTCCCAAATATCTGAAAACATACACTTTTATCCATACTCCCTCTCTCCAATGTGATACCCAATTTTTCTTTATCTAAATCATTTGATACCCTCATCACCTTATTCTTTTCTATGTTTACTTTCAACTTTCTACCTTTACACACACTCCCAAACTCGTCCATTAACCTTTGCAATTTTTCTTTAGAATCTTCCATAAGCACAGTATTATCAGCAAAAAGCAACTGTGTCAATTCCCATTTTGCATTTGATTCCCCATAATTTAATCCCACCCCTCTCCTGAACACCCTAGCATTTATTTCTTTTACAACCCCATCTATAAACATATTAAACAACCATGGTGACATTACACATCCCTGTCTAAGACCTACTTTTACTGGGAAGTATTCTCCCTCTCTTCTACACACCCTAACCCGAGCCTCACTATCCTCATAAAAACTCTTTACAGCATTTTTAAATACACTACCTAACAGAATACTCCATTCTACTGAATGAACAGCAATGCATGCAACCATATGACCTGTCTTTGTAATACTCATTTGTGCTTTATAGTTATCTGTTTACAATAATGTCTTATCACTGATTTCATCATTGCTTAGTTAATCTTAAGTTAATTTTAAGCCAGCCCGTAATGCTATGCATATAAGTGGCTTTGGCATGCTGCTCTTACCTGTATTTTTTTTGTACCTCTGTATGTATGCTAAAATTTCTAAATAAATAAATAAATAAATAAATAAATAAAATAAATTTAGTAACTTACCACCTATTCCATATACTTGCAACATCTGCCACATTGCTCCCCTATCCACTCTGTCATATGCCTTTTCTAAATCCATAAATGCAATAAAACTTCCCTACCTTTATCTAAATACTGTTCACATATATGCTTCAATGTAAACACTTGATCTACACATCCCCTATCCACTCTAAAACCTCCCTGCTCATCCACAATCCTACATTCTGTCTTACCTCTAATTCAATTATAACCCTACCGTACACTTTTCCTGGTATACTCAATAAACTTATTCCTCTATAATTTTTACAATCTCTTTTGTCCCCCTTATTATTATTTTATTTTTTATTACCACACTGGCCGATTCCCACCAAGGCAGGGTGGCCCGAAAAAGAAAAACTTTCACCATCATTCACTCCATCACTGTCTTGCCAGAAGGGTGCTTTACACTACTATTCTTTACACTTCTATTCTCTTGAAGTGCTCTACACTTCCCTTCATATAAAGGGCCTATACATGCTCTCTGCCAATCCCTAGGTAGGTACCTTCCCCTCTTTCATACATTTATTAAACAAAAATACCAACCACTCCAACACTATCCCCCTACTTTTAACATTTCTGTCATGATCCTGTCAGTTCCAGCTGCTTTACCCCCTTTCATTCTATGTAATGCCTCACACACCTCCCCCACACTCACATCCTCTTCTTCTTCACTCCTAAAAGGTGGTATACCTCCCTGGCCAGTGCATGAAATTACCGCCTCCCTTTCTTCGTCGACATTTAAAAGTTCCTTAAAATATTCTTGCCATCTACCCAAAACCTCCATCTCCCCATCTACTAACTCCCCTACATTGTTTTTAGCTGACAAATCCATTCGTTCCCTAGGCTTTCTTAACTTGTTTAACTCGCTCCAAAATGTTTTATTTTCATTAAAATTTCTTGACAGTGCCTCTCCCACTCTATCATCTGCTCTTCTTTTGCACTCTATCACCACTCTCTTCACCTTTCTTTTGCTCTCCATATACTCTACTCTTCTTATAACACTTCTGCTTTGTAAAAACGTTTCATAAGCTATATATTGGTATATATTAGATAGAGTAAACATCAGTAGGTCCCCTAGTACTCCTCAGTGAGGTTAGGTTAGGTCAGGTTCCCTAGGTATAGTAATGTTCAAATTTTCTTCTAGTAGGCTTCTTTGTACTGTAATGAGTTTTGAGATAATCTGCACATTCATTAAGATAGATGAAACAGGTTTTGGAGAAAAGGATATTGGTGGCTGACAGATGAGCTGGAGTAGATTAAGGAAGGACAACCTCAAGAAGAAAGTCAAGAAAAGTATGTGTTACAGAGACTGTATGCTTTAATTAAAAAAGCCAGGTGCTGTAGATGAAGGCTAAGAGAAAAGCACTGCATAATGTGATGTATTTATAATTAAGGCCAAGGGACTGAATACCTTCAAAATCTTTTTTTGTAATTAAGGATAAGGGACTGAACACCTAGAACTATATTCAGCATGCTATAGTACTAAAAAATGCCAAATCTTTAGCAGTACAGTTGCTGAACAAAGCTCATCATTGAGGCAAGCCATCAAGTTGAGCTACTACTGTACCACTGCATATGATCTTTCCTCACATCTGACTTCTCCTCACTCCTGCCTATATATTATCCTGTCTCCAAGTATATTCTATTCTCTTGAAAAAGCCTCTTTTACAAATGAAACATTATCTGAATAAAGTTTCTAATTATTGCTGGAATCTTATCTACATACTGTGCTAAATTTTATGAAGCGCTAAAACCATGTGTTATTCACTGCAAGGAGTGGTGGAGGCTTGATTATCTGTCCAATACTCTCTGACCAGTCAGACTACCATAGGCTCCCAACTACTAACAAGACTTAATATTCACAATTTCAATGTTCCAACAGGGTCACTACCTTGTTCTCTCATTAATAACACAAATTTGAATCCACACCTTATTTTCATCCAAGAATTTTAGCTTAATGGCTACATCTGCTCTGAGTCTATCATAGTGAGCTTTGTGTCCATTAAAGTTTCGCTGAGCTTCTTCTAACTTGATCGAGCTGACTTCAGAACGAGGCTGTTGAGCAAGCATCTCCAAGTCACTCCGGTAAGCATCATACTCGATCCTGAACAAGAAATGACCATTATCATTATAATAATGGTAATGTGCTAAACCCGTAAGGATCATACAACGCTTGGAACACGAGAGATAATCAAGTTTACTCTAAGGAAAGTGTAGCTCCAATTGTCTAGAACAAGAGCCTTTCACCAACAACAAGGCACTCCTCTCTCTTGAAGGGACGAGAAATCATCAGACAAATTATAAGAGAATTCATAATTTTAAAAAGTAAAGCTGCAAAAAGCTTTCATTACCACTATCTTCCAGTTACACAGTTTACCTCAAAATACCCAAAAAAACTGCCATAAAAAAATAGAATTAAGCCCTTAAACTAATAATATCAATATACAACAAATATTACTGCAAAATATAAAGAATTGTAATTATAGAAGATCTTGACTCTTTTTCTAGAAATTGTAAATAAATGGTTAGAGATGCAGCAGTGACATAGGACAGTGTGCTCTCAAGACATAAATGGAGTATCTTGAAATCACCCCTCCAAAAACAAAAAAAATCACTGGGTTTAGCATTTTTGCCTATGTCTTTCTTACCCTTAATACACCCACCCATGATATTTTACCTCTAATGTAAATTGATGAATGACCCTTCCCAGTTCTGCATTTTACATGAATATAATATTCATGGACCTATATTCCACATTATTGTGTGATACCCCTCTCTCTCTCTTTTACTTCTGCCATACAGAGATGAAATGATTAACTGAGGAAGATATGCAGTCCCTGGATCTACAATATGACTAGCTGAGGAAGTTGAGCTGTACTTCCTGGACTTATCACATGACTGGTTGAGGATGATGAGCTACACTTCCTAGACATCCCATACGAGTGAGGAAATTTTTTTTTTTTTTTTTTTGGTGGAGGGGGATTAACAAGTTCAACTCTCTTTTACTTCTGCTGCACAAAACTGAATGACTAGTTGAGTAAGTCCAGGAAATATAGCTCAGCTTCCTAAGCCAGTTGTCATGAGGAAGGCCTAGGAAGTGAAACTCAATTTCCTTAGCCAGTTATGTGGTAGGTCCAATAAATGTAGCTTAACTTCCTCAACCAGTCATGGTAGGTTCAGAAAATGTAAGTCAAATTCCTCAACCAGTCATGTGGTAGATTCAGTAAGTGTAGGTCAACTTCTTCAGCAAGTCATGTGGTAGATCCAATAATTGTAAGTCAACTTCATCAGCCAATTATGTGATAGATTCAGGTGTAGCTCAACTTCCTCAGCTAGTCATTCAAGTGAGAGAGCAGAAGTGGTTGTATCAAAGGCAAAAAAACCATCAGTAGGCCCAGAATATGTAGTGTGGCAAGGACAAATGTGCAAAGTTACTTTGTACAGGTTTGATAGTGCGAAGTCTCACGTCACTGCCACACCTTTAATTGCTTGCTTACACCTAGAAAATTGACGAAATTGCAAGTCTTTTTTTTTTTTTTGCAGTAATATGTTGTGTACTGACATGATCACTGTCATTATTTGTTAGTTTATGGGCTTAATAATCATTTTTAGAATAATTTTTGGGGTAACTAGTGTGACCCCATATAGAGTACATAAGATTTACTTTAAAACAAAACCTTTACTGTTAATAATTATAAGTGCACTGCATACATAAAATATGTATGAATGCATACATACGAAATGTTAGGATCAATACTCCCAAAATCATGATATTGCCTTTAACTGAACACAAATGATACTGAGAGAACAGTGTTTCAGACTTGAGCTAGATTATTTGTTAGTGCTTTACACATACCTGTGACATACTCATTACTGGTTTCAAGAGTTCTGCAGTTGCAGCCTAGCCTGAGGACAGGCTTCCCAGGTGGCTGCCTGCTCAACCAAGCTGTTCCTACCCATGGCCCACAAGCCTACAAAGTCATCACAACCTGGTTATTCAGCATATACTATAGAAATTTTTCCAGTTTCCTCTTTAAGCCTTCTACCTTTCTTCTGGCAATATACTTTTTAGTTTTACTGGTAGACAACTGAAGAGTTGTGGACCACGAATGATGATACTATGTACCCTAATTGTGCTGATATAAAGGACTTGCTCATGCGAAAGAGAAATAACCTAGATAAACAAACGAATAATGATTAAGAAATTATCTGTAAAACAAATGAAAGGATATTAAGCAAGATATTAGAGCAGTACAGAAATGAATAAATTCTTAACTAATTTGCATTGTTTGCATGTTCTTAAAATAATACCAAAATGTAAATCTTCTTTAAGCTTACCTTGCAGCTTCATACAATTTAACTGTAAGCAAAGTATCTTCCATAGTCTTGTTACATAAAGTATTTACTGATGAGACAAAGAAGTTCAGTGCACCTAGAAGTGTCTCTCCATTCTTGGTAAGTGTCCTTTGAGTCTCTGCATTGTATATAAACTCCTCCTGAAGTTCTGGTGATTTCTGTGTACAAAAGAAAATGAGAGAGATTACAGCAACCTATAAATATCAACTACACATTTTTATCTCTTGCCTTACCACTAATGTAATACTGCAACTGAAAGTAATTAAGCTTTACAACAGTTTAATTTCTTGAAATATTTAAATTCACAGCTTCAAATAAAACAATACCTTTATTGAACATTTTCTATTTCTGTTTCCAAATCTATCTTCCACCGCCTAATTTTTTTTTATTAACACATCGGCCATTTCCCACCAAGGCAGGATGGCTCAAAAAAGAAAAACTTTCGTAATCATTCACTCCATCACTGTCTTGCCAGGGGCATGCTTACACTACAATTAAAAAACTGCAACATTAACACCCCTCCTTCAGAGTGCTGGCACTGTACTTCCCATCTCCAGGAATCCAGTGCCTAATATAATATGATTATTTATTATTGTTATAGGTAGTAGGTTGGTAGACAGCAACCGCCCAGGGAGGTACTACTGTCCTGCCAAGTGAGTGTAAAACAAAAGCCTGTAATTGTTTTACATGATGGTAGGATTGCTGGTGTCCTTTCTTCTGTCTCATAAACATGCAAGATTTCAGGTACATCTTGCTATTTCTACTTACACTTAGGTCATACTACACATACATGTACCAGCACATATATACACACCCTTCTGGGTTTTCTTCTATTTTCTTTCTAGTTCTTATTCTTGTTTATTTCCTCTTATCTCCATGGGGAAGTGGAACAGAATTCTTCCTCCGTAAGCCATGCGTGTTGTAAGAGGCGACTAAAATGCCGGGAGCAAGGGGCTAGTAACCTCTTCTCCTGTATGTATTACTAAATGTAAAAGGAGAAACTTTCGTTTTTCCTTTTGGGCCACCCCGCCTCAGTGGGATACGGCCGGTATGTTGAAAGAAGAAAAGAAAGATTGCTGGTGTCCTTTTTTCTGTCTCATGAAAATGCAAGATTTCAGGGACGTCTTGCTACTTCTACTTACACTTAGGTCACACTACACATACATGTACAAGCATATATATACACTCACACCCCTCTGGGTTTTCTTCTATTTTCTTTCTAGTTCTTATTCTTGGTTATTTCCTCTTATCTCCATGGGGAAGTGGAACAGAATTCTTCCTCCATAAGCCATGCGTGTTTTAAGAGGCGACTAAAATGCCGGGAGCAAGGGGATAGTAATCCCTTCTCCTGTATAGATTACTAAATTTAAAAAGATAAATTTTCGTTTTTCTTTTGGGCACCCTGCCTTGGTGGGATATGGCCGATTTGTTGAAAGAAGAAGATTTATTATTGTTCTATTTTCCCCAATACATAGGTAGATGGCGCATTCAGCAGACCAAGTAATATGTCCCTCTCTTAGTAGAATATCTCTCTCTCTTCCATAAGATACCCCTCACACCCACACATATTTCCATATAGACTGACATGACTGAGCCTTGTCATCAGTATACCTTCTAGCCTATGCAGATGCACAACAGGTGATCATACCATACACATATTTATGACTTTGTGCTATTGTACTTCAACAGTTTAATTTTTTTTTTGTTGTATATTCACTCTACCCTTTACATACCTATGGCTTCAGGTATATCTAAAAACTACATTAATGAAATATACAATAGATTGTTATTTTCTACAGTATAACACATCCATACATTGCTACACTGCTTATCACATTTTCTTTTTTTTGAACCCCTGTACAAAATTTGCTTCCATTGTCTCATTACTCATTTCATTCCACTTAAGTGAAAAACAGATGATGTTATCACAGGATAAAGCACTCCAGCATCACAAAATAGATAAGAATAAGCTTTTTACCAATGAATTTCTATCTGTGCACCTCTCATACCCCTACATACACTTTACTTAAGCCACCCACCTTATTCTTAGTTTCCATCACCTTTCAATAAATACAGTACATACACCTGTTCTTCAATACTCTGTAATCGTCCATTCTTTGTGGAAGCCTAAACCCTATGTGCACCCTATTCTTTGCTTTTTGTCATTAATTATTTCTATTTTTCCAAGTAATTCTACCACATCCTTATTTATTAATAATATTTTTTAAATGTATATAGATATTACAGTGAGTGGGTTGACAGTTAGTGTACAGATTCAAAAAGACCAAATACACAGCATTAGCACACTTAAAACCAGGTTAGAATCTTAATTTAAGGTACTGGTAATTATAACAGACTGGATTTGCATTTTTTTTACTTGGCATATAAAAAAATGTACAATGATCTAAGAAAACTAAATAGTAAATAATGGCAAATACTCACCAATGCCTGTAATAGCTGTCTTCCAAACTGCATATATACAGTACATATATACCCTACATTACTTTATATACATATGACATAAAACATTTAAACATATACTGTATATAAACAAAAATCCTCATATATAACCAAGAATAAAATACTAACTTCATGCTAATATGGATTCACACACCAAAAGGTTACAAAGAATGTCATAGTAAAAATATCAGACAATCTATACAGTGCTTGATATGAACGAATACCCACTCTGAATATCTGTGCTACAAGATGACCACAACCTCCTCCTCAACCTGAAGCATTATGGACTTAGCACTCCTACTATTTATACATATTTATACAATCTTTTTTAATAACAAATGCTAGCAAGTAAACATTAATGGAACAACCACATGTATTCTATCATTAAATGTTAAGTGTTCTCCTGTTCCTTTTTACTAATGCCCTGGTAAATTCTTCCAACAACTCAACCACGACATTTATCGCCTTAAGCCCTGACTTTCTGTAATTAAACTAGATGCAGATCAAAGCCATTGCTCAAAATCTTACTGTTGTCCCTATAGACATCAAATAAGAGGAAGAAAGTTTTGACAAGCTTCACATCATACATAAACTTGAGACTGAGTATGGCATCACTGAGTGTTACACGCACGCACTCGTGCACACGCACACACACACACACACACACGCACACACACACACACACCCACACACACACGCACACATGCACACACGCACACACATGCACAAAAAAATAAATAAAATCCAGTAAATGATATTTTAATTTGAGGTAGAAAACGACCATTTTTAAGTTTTATGACAAAACAAGGAATTGCTGCTACCAAAATATAGATGATGTGTAAGAGAGGTTTAAGCAGCAGCAAGCTGCCACTGTGAGTGTACAAACTGAGAAGTTTAAGGTTGCAGGCAAAAGGCTGGCCTTCTGTTTAAAGTTAAATCTTTTAAGTGAGTGATGGCTGGGTTGCAAAATTTAAAGCTATGCATAATATTAGAAATGAGATACTGCAGTAGGTGATTAGTTGCAGATGCTGCATAGCAAATTAGAATTGCACTTGTAGCAGTACAGGTGTCCCTCCACATTCTCGAGGGTTAGGGGATCAAGAACCTCATAAATTTGAAAAACTGCAAATGTTTGGTGCACAAATATGTTGTAGGGAAATATAATAATAGCATTTACCTAGCCTAACAATACCGTTTCCTTAACCTACTGAACCATGAACAATCATAAAACACATGACATCGTAAAATATTGTACTAGTGCCAGCCCTTTGGTAAAGAAGGTGTGAAAGACTATAGAATTCAAAAAAGAACTCGTAGCTGAGTACCAAAGTGGAGGAGGAAGAATGTGCCTTCAGTGATTCTACGATATGTACGATACTAAAGCAGCACGAGTCGATAAAGGCTATAGTGCCAGCCAGCGATAAAGTGTAGCATTAACAGTGTAGCAAGTTAAGCAATTAATCGATAGAAAAAGGACAGCATAAACTTAACTCCTCCAATGTTGTTGGAGTTATATAGAGCAACTGACAACACTGCCATCTCTGCTGCCACCTTCACCACCACTATGTAAGGCTTATGCTCTCAGTGGCCCTTATACACCGACCAACAGCAACACTCGTGACATGATTAATGATGTATTTTATTCATTCTAGAGTATGTCATGTTTCTATGTTATTAATATTGTTTATTTTGTCATATTAGATCAATTTTGATAGATAAATAAGCTGTAGAGTTGATATTGACCCTTTCAGGGTCCGTGCCATAGATCTACGGCTTTACATTGAAGGTCCAAACCGTAGATCTACGCCATGAGCTCAGCTCACTCTGATAAGCTGTGAGCAGTAAATCTGGGCCTAGATATGAGAGAATACATCTATGTGGTATGTGTGCACCACATAAAACAAATCCTGCAGCACACAGTGCATAATGAGAGGAAAAAAACCAAGACCGTAATTTTCGATTAAAACAGCGACTTGGTGTTTTTCCGTATTTTTTATAGTTGTATTTACAATTTCTTGGTCTCATTTGATAGAATGGAAGATATACTACAGAAATAGAGATGATTTTGCTTGGTTTTAGTACTGGAATGGCTTGAAACTGAGCTCAAAGTAGCAGAAATGTTAAATGACCTCACAAGTCAAATACATGACAGCTAGTGGGTCTAATATACATTCACGAATGTGGTGATATTATTTATACAATTATTACAGTATTGCATAACAGTAAATCTTCTGTTTTTTGGTTTGAATAAAAATTCATTATGTGAATAAAAAATAAAAATGGAATTCATTTGTAAAGCCTGAAAACATAACCAATGAACAGAGGAAATGTTAGTTTAGTGCCAGGAATGCCTGCATTGTTTATTTTGGACCCTATTTTGAAATTGGAATATTTTGAACTTTGCATTAACCCTTTGACTGTCGCAAGCCCCTTTCTGAAACTGTCATTCTGTTGCAAAACTTTTGGAAAAAAAAATTATTTTTTCTTATGAAATGATAGAGAATCTTTGGTCGAAAACTCATGGAATTACGCTCCCGCGAAGTTAGCGGTCTCAGCGACATATACGCATCGACAATTTCGCCGACTTTGAGCCCTGTTTTTGGCCAATTCCGTTGTTCCAGTTGACCAAACTCATAGCTATTTCTTTAGAACTACATTTTTTCTATCAGTTTAGTACAAGAAACCGCCCATTTACTGA